TGTGGCCGCCGCCAGGGGGTGGCGGTGCGCCTGCCTGGGCGCCATCTTGGTCCCGCCGTGCGGCGGCTGGAGGGACTATTATTGCCTGTGCTGCGGGTTCTGCCGCTGCTGCTGGCGCGGCCGCTGCTGCGGCGGCTGTTGTCGTGGTAGCGGCAGCTGTTGCTGAGGTTGTGGCAGTTGTTGCTGCTGCGGTTGCTGCTGCTGCTGCTGCAACTGCTGTGGCTGCTGTTCCAGTTGGTGCGGGGTTGCCGGGGGGAACTGACAGCGGTGCCTGGGGAGCTGGCGGGGATCGGAACCGAGCTGCGGCTGCGGCGAGGGCGGCCGACCCGCGCTCCCCGAGGAAGCACACAAGCAAAGCTTCCTGTGCGGTGGCGGGGATGTAGCCGCTGTTGCGGGAGCAGCCTCGGACCGCCCAGGGCACGTAGATGGAGGCGCCCGAGGGAAGTTGAGCCCCGGCTGCAGCAAGAGCACGTGGCAAAGCAAGCTCTGAGGGCGATAGCTGCACGCCGTCCTGGATTGCCGCTGCTTGCTGGGCCTCCAGAATGAAGAGCAAGGCTTCAATGGCTACTGGAGCTGCACCAGTGAGATCCAGCATAGCCGCGCGCCAGATGGGTGCAAAGAACGGGTGGGTTTCCCAAGCCGACGCAGCTGCACTGCGGAGCAAACCTGCGGCCGATAGCAGGAGGGGAACGTAAAACCAGCTGTTCCCATAGGAAAGGACCTCCTGCGGGCCGGGGGGGCCGCGAGAAAACCAAGGCGCTTCCCCGGCGATCGGAACGGCTGGCTCAGCTGGCGCTGGCTGCACCGCGGGGGCTGGAGCTGCGGAGGCGGTAGCAGCGGCAGCAGGAGTGGGAACTGAGGTCCTGCACGGCTGGCCTTGGCGATGGTCCGCGGGCGGGGCCATATCAACATCGCCCGTCCCCAACGGCAACGGGACCGGCTGACAGGGCAGGACAAGAGGGGGATGGCCATGACAACACACCCAACCCCGTTCACCGTAAGCGACATCAACAGCGAGCACACGGGCCCCGTGCACCGCGCAGACAGGGACGACCGGCACGTTCTGGAGCAGGGGGTGATGGCCGGTCAAGTTCTCGTTGCACCGCAGGCACACCCACTCTGGGTCCCACCTGCCCGTACCTCGGTTGAAGACGGGCATCCACGCCATGTGGCGGGAAGGCAAGTCCACCCACGCCTGGTCAGAGTCGGCACGCGAGCTGTCCACTAAGGCTACATGCTGGCAGCAAAAAGCCGTGACAGACGATGGCGGAGGGGGGGGAGCAGACTCGGGAGCGAGAGGGACAGAACGAGTGTTGTATGACGGGGCCGCCTGAGGCAAGGAGACCGAGTGCGCGGAACACTGGAAAGCAAAACGCTCCTCAGCAACCGAAGTCCAACCAGTACGACAGAACGGGCAGGACATGTGGCGAGAGTTCACACGCAAATGCGCGACACAACCCAGGTGGACACGATGGCCACACGACGGCCACACGAATGGAACCTCGGGCCCTGCGGCCGCACTAGGAACTGCACACATGCAAATGGGACAGTCTTCAACATCAGGATTCGAAGGACAAGGCTGAGATCCAGCACGCAACATCCACTCGGGGGTGACAGGGGCCGGCTGGCCCGCACCAAGCCCACGAGGCGGGGAGGGCGAAGAAGCCACCGAGAGCACTGCAGATGGCTGTCCCGGCGCGAGTGGCGTGGCCGCTCCATCAAGGCTGCTATCGGACGCCATTCAGGGCGGTTGACCGTTGGTCACGGCCGGTCCCCCCAAAGCAGCTGACCGTTGTCGACCCTGGGACGGTCCCCCAGATGCTGTTTTTTATACTGGACCAGCCCCCTGTAGTGCAGACCGATTGTCTGAGCTGGGACGGTCCCCCAGCGCCGTTTTTTATACTGGACCGGCCCCCAGTGGTGCTGACCGAATGTTTAAGCTGGGACGGTCCCCCAGCTGTGTTTTTTTTTTTTTTTGTTTTTTTTTTCGGGCCTGTTTTTTTTCCTTTTTTTTTTCCTCCTCCTCCTGGCCCGGCCTCCAACACGGAGGTCTTAACACAGAGCTGTTGTTGACCTGGACAGCTTCCAGGGGACAGTTTGTTTATACTGGGCCTGCCTCCCAGCTATGCAATCCGTGGCGCCCCGCAGCGCAACCAAAAAGGAAAAGGACCCCAAACGAACCAGGGGCAGCCCCAAAACCAAACAACCGAAAACCGGGGGGGGAGGAGCCAGCCAACAAGGCGCAAAGCACAAGAGCCTTGAGCCAAAATGGCTTGAGCCAAAATGGCTACCTTCAACATAGGGAGCGGGAGGTCATGCCTGATCTTGAGCAAGCTTCGCAGGCGTGCGGCGCCACGGCCACGCCATCCGCGCAGTCGACGCCCTCGACGATCACCACGTGTCTTGCCCGCGCTCCCTGTTGGCACGATGGGCTCGGGTGGTGTAACAAGCGTGGGTCCGCGTCGCACGGGAAGCGGTGGCTCGCCAACATTACAGGGCGAGGCGTTGTGTTGCGATGCCACGCTGGTCAGCCCGTTGGATACGCAGGGATGCCCTCAGATGGCGTCGCTTGGTCCACGGCGGGCAGGCGGAAGAGGGCTCGTTACCCGGAACTCGCCGGTCCCGGGCCACAGTGCCTCCTGGTGTTGGCAGTCGAGGTCGGCGGGCGGTGGCACGGTGATGCGGTCGCCCTGCTCCCGGTTCTCGCTCGCCTGCGTGCGCGGCGGGCGCCGCCGGCGTTGCGCCGGCAGGCACGCGCGAGCTGGCCCCGCCGCTGGTGGAGCCTGCTCAGCGTTGCTGCGCAGCGGGCGGTGTGCAGCACCGTTTTGGGGGCGGTGGCTGCCGCCACCCCTGCCCACGGGGGAGGAGGGGCCGCTGCTCGGCGACGTTTTGCCGCTTGCAGATGCAAGCGCTGAGGCTGAGGCCCACCCCTCAACCCCTGAACCCTCCCTGGACCCCTGAACAGGCCCTTCTTGGGACTCCGCGCGCATTCCACACTCTTGTCTTGGCGTGGTCCAAGATATGCGCGCGTGTTTCGACAAGCGCCGGGAAATTCGCGCTCAGGCCGGCATGCCACATGCAAGTCATCCAAGAATGCAAGTGCTCGTTCGTTTGGCTGCAACTGTGGCTGGAGCGCTTGCAGCACCTAGCGCAGCCTGAGGGAAGGAAGCACTGGCATGAGTGGACTGGCCACTGTTGTCTGCCCAAATACACCGAGACGGCGACCCGTAAAGGTGCGAAGGAGAAACAAGGAACAATTTGGCGTCTTGGGCGGGCAGTTTTTTTTTTTTTTTTTTTCCTTTCGTTTTCTCCACGAACTTTGACAAGGGTCACTTCCAAGAAAAGATGGCTGCGGGCTCGGGGATGGTTGGCAGTGGCCGCGTCCACCGCAGGCTGGAAACCGGGGGCTCAGGGAAAGTTGCGGCCGTTTCGCCGCCTTTGCCGTCGCCGCGGCCTGCGCGGCGGCAAGTCAAGCAGCTGAATGACAGGCTCGTTGAAGTCATTTCTAAGTGACAAACAGCCAACATAGACTTGAACCGGCTTGAGTGGCCCTGGCAACCGGCCTCCTGCGAGGAGGCTTCGCGCACTGACAAGCACCAACGTGCAGTATCGCTTTGAGAAACGAAAAACACGTGAGATGAGCCGGGGATTTTACGGCGGCCCGGGTCACTGCATATTGCATCGTTTTGTTGCAGCTCCTGTCTCATCTCAAGCAAGGACTTCAAAACGGTGTCACAAGCGCATGGCATTATTGTATCATCGTGTTGCTTGTGACCATGCCACACAGCATTACTGCTGCTAGCTGTGCCAGGATGCCTTTGATTTGTTGAAGAGCGCGCGGGGGGACATGCAAAGCAATGGTGGTTGATTGTGTTAGGTCAGGACATGACTGCGCAGGCCAGGCTCTCCATGCCGTCTCATGGCGCGTGTTTCTTTTGGCTGGGACCGCGTTTCCAAAGCACCCCTCGAACGGATGCCAGCTGCACAGCAAGGTAGGCAACATAGGATTGCATTTTGCAAGTGTTCTAGATTCACTTGTGGAATTGTATGCGTAACTGAAAGATGTCTCCGAAATACGAGAACTGCGGCAAATGCCTTCTTCCTTGCTGAAATTCGGTAAGAGTACTGACACGGATAGGCCACTATTGGAAGGAGTGTGTATGCAATGTGCACGTTTTCTTGATCCAACCGCTTGTTGAAGAGTGCTGAGCACTGATTTTGAACAAGCTGCTTTAAATTGCCGACCCGTTACGAAAGCTCTTTCTGGTTGACGTCATGTGGGGGTTGATCAATATTCCTGGCCCCAAAGTGACCATGGGCAACTTTCCCATTCTCTGTGAAATGCAATCTTTTTAGCGGTTTCCCCCAATGGTCATCTTGTGTAAAGGACCTTGTGGCCAACCCCTATGCAGGGCACCCAACCCTCACTTTGCAAGGACTGAGTCCCCATTTCTGTCCAACAATCTTCTGCCGTGTGCGTATCCCAAAACGTGGTGATATTTTCTCACTGACGCGGCACTGTTGCAACCATTATTGTCAATAGGATTGTCTAGGCGGAGGATTTGTCCAACTGTGCGTTGTGTGTGTTCTCCAGGCTGCAACTCATGCCGGCTACCCGCGGAAGCGAGCGCCTCATTGGGGGGGGACCGTGCGTCACTCTCGGACATGCATTTCAATAATCGATTGGGTTGGCAAAGGTCTGAGCCATCTACCAAAGTCAAGGATCTGCCCAAGGCACCTCAGGCCATGCTGTCCGTTTGCCAGCAAAACTCCAGCTTTGGCACTGTCATAGCCAGTGTCGCACGAGGCACCATGAATTTCATGTTTCCAAAGTACTGTAGCACTCACACAAGGAACGCCGAGAAAATTGAGAGAAATCACTTCTTTTTGGGCGGTCCCTAGGAACATTGGAAGGCCCACCGCCAACCCCAGTGCAAAGCTACCGCCAAGCTTCTCACAAGCCCACCACAAAACCACGCGCAATCCAAGTCACAGACAGCACTTGGCAGCCCTTGTCGCAGCGTTCCACGCGCCGGGGATGCATGGACTGGGCGCCACCAGTAGCTGCCGCAGCCCGAACCGTCCCGGCTGCCCCGTGGGTGGCAGCCTCAACCTGCGCTTCACCAAGGCTTTGCCAGGAGCGGAGCTGGGCCTTCGAAGATGCTTGTTTCGCCGCCTTGAAGCCCGTTCCAACATGTGTTCCGAGAGCCGTGCCAGGCAAGAACTCGAGTCAGAGAGATGTGTGCGTCAGAACTTGTGATTTGTGGTCGACGTGCAGTCATGGGCAATCAAGTGGATTTGACGTGGCTGGGGTGTGTGTCGTCAGGGCAGCGCACATTTTGGCAGCACGCTGGCAGCTGCCTCGGGCGCAACTTGGCCGATGTATGGCTACAGGGAACACTTGCCAACTCAACGCATCAGATGCGCATAATCTTGACTGCTATTGGTTCGGATCTTTAAACTTTAACTTTTTGGGGAATAAAGGTGTTTTTCACTAAACCCCCCAAAAGTTTATCTTTTTGCAGGGGGGTCAAGAGCAACCAAGTAATCCTCAAGAAAGGCCCACATTTTGCATGCAGGGGCTCACAGTGGTTGGAATCAATGGCAATGGCTGCCAGCTTCGGGAATTTGTTTGCTTCATTTTCAAGCCCAGACAGCAGTTGCATGTTGGCGTGCGAGGTGCTGTGCCAGGCCATTTCCAAGCGCAAGTTGGTGCGGCGAGGCCGGCCAGAGCAGATTGAGGAAGACATGCTCGAGAGCCTTGGCGCATAATTTTTCGCACATGTTGATTGAATCCACATGTGGCGAGCAAACCTCCTTGCAGAGGTTGCACGCACCTACCAAGGAGCCAAACGGATGTGGTGGGCGCGCCACTGCATTCCCGGATTGCTGACTTTTGCAGGGCAGGGCATGGGGAGCTGGTGATGGAGGCGAGGGTTGTGGCGCCAGGCAGCGCGCTCTGGTTTGCACTGTGCACCAGGCACTGTATCATCCCAAACAGGCCTGTTCCCATGTCCCGCAGCGCAACATGTTGGATGTCGCGTGCGGCAAAAACAACCTTCAGGGACATGGAAGCTGTAATCCAGGTTCTCCAAAACGAGGCTCCTCTGTAAACTCGCAATGCTCGCGGCTTCGAGTGCGGTTCAGGTTCGTGTTTCCCTGAGCATGCTTCAGGGCCACCTAGGTGTTTGTTCTTTTCAGGGTAACTAACGGGAAAGCCGCCTTTCTTGGCCCCCCTATTTTGATGCACGCCCTGCCTTCGAGTTTGGACTGCAGGCGCCTCCAAACTCCCTGCGCTGCAAGACCCTGGTGGTGAGCTGCACCCCGGGAGCGGACAACGGCGAAGCGGCGGAGGTGTCGGCGGTGCTCTGCGTGCTGCCCGCCGAGCGGCGGCTGAGCCTGCCCAAGCTGAAGTGCGCCGCGTTGGGGGGGGGGGGTTGGGGGGTTGGGTGGGGGTTGGAAGGGAGAGAGTTCGTCTCTTTGCACAGTGTTTCCCAAGCCACAGACTGCACAGTGCAAGCTGGAAAGCCATTGTCAATGACACAAAACACAGACTCATGGCTTTATCGGGTTTCGCCCTTCGCTTCTGAAGGGAACCTATTGGGTCTCCCTGTTTGAGACCTGCCGCTCAGGCCCTTTTTTGGCCAGGGCACCTGTAGGTCCAACAACAATGGAACTCCCTTGGAGTTGGTGCTAAGTTAAACGGAAGCCAAAGGAAAACCCAAGAACGAATCAGATGAAACAAAAGCAACACACAATATGCTGGGGTCCCGGATTTGGCAGTTTGTGAAACATGGGGATTCCTCAACGCGTTTGATTTTATGTCGCCGATTTTATGTGCGCACAAGTTTTGACACATACCCGTTTCAAATATCAGTTTGGGTTTTCAGGAGAGTTAAGGGAGTTCTTTGGTTACAATTTTTAAGGGCCCGATTCCCTCACCCACCTCACATCCTGCCTGGCTACGCCTGGTTTGTCGCTTTCCTGCTGCTCTGGGATTCCCCTCATATTTATTGGCAAAAAGAAGGGGGTTCGCTCCTGTGAGACACACGCACACATTTATACTTCCGATATTTAGTATACCAGCAACCCACCTCCAGAACCCAATGATTTCCAGAGAGTCATAGAAAGAACCTCTACCATACTAGTTCACAAATGTTCAGAAGCAGTCCCGCACCTCAAATCCCTTGACAAACATGCTTGGGATTGAACCCGCTACTTCGGTGATAACCATTGTGCCAGAGAGATGACGATCGTTAAATTACCACCTACATAGCCAGTGGGTACGTTTTCAACCAGCCCCCCACATAGGAGGACACCGCGGTGTTGGCTTGGGATATTGGACCCCCCCGCCGGGCCCCCCCCTCCCCCCCCCGCCCGCCCAACAAAGACAAAAAATAACACAAGGTGCTGGTGGTACTTTAAGGTGGTGGTACTCTTATGTCCCTTTAAAACCATCCCAAGAAAGCACTCCCTCAAAAGAAGACATCCCGCAGGCAG